TTTGACAAAAATATGAATTTTTATTTTGGTTTTTTTGCTATAACTTGGCTAAAAATGGTAATACACCAAAAATACATACTGTTTTGAACAGATAACAAAATAATAAGTAAACCCATAACACCTTCCGTGTGATTTAAAAAATTAAAATTTTCGTCAATTTTAATTTTTTTAAAATAAAATGTCCAGTTTTGAATGCCAATCAATTGGAAATTTAATAACGAGTTCAGAAAGGTATGACAATCCATATTTGTTTCAATATTTCCGTTGTGCGTGCTGATGATTAGGATCTTTGACACTGAGAAACAAATAATTTGGAAATACATTTGCAACATAAATTACCTAATTGGTGAGAAATATTCTTAAAAATGTTCCTAATCAGCAGACCGATTCCCAAGTTGAACTTGATAATTTTCACGGATTTGCCTGAACACTTTTTATGGTTCAAGTTGAAGCCACCACGTAAAACGTAATACAAAATTAACTTTAGCTTACAAATTATCATTGTCATCGGCGGGGCTGTCGACACCCTTCTGTTTCTGCTGCTGCCTCTTCGTTTATGGTAGGTGATATATATAAAAAATCAGTGTATAACCATGTTCACATGAACAGAAACAAAAAAAAAATCTTAATTAAAATTGTATGCAAGGTCGAAATTAGTTGCCAACGTGGCCCTCACGTCAGCGGCTCGAAAAAAAACCTACTGATTACTTTATTCATAATTCATTTAAGAGAGCGCACGCACTCGCGCAGGGCGCCCCACCCCCAGAAAAATTCGCCCCCAATGAAGCGTCATGCGCACGTTTTTTGACTAATTTTCAAAAACGCAAACAAAAAAACAACAGAATAAAAAACTGAGCATCAAGAAAACCTGATTGCAATAATAATGAGATTGTTTTCAGAATGAGTTATATTTATGTGCGTACACGCTGTCTATAAAATTAACAAATATGTATACTCTTAAGTGTATATCGATATTTATCATGAATCTGTATTTTATATGCTTTATTTGGAAACGATTTTTTTTGCTGAAGTAAATGAAAGTCTGAGTTTTTGTGGCCACATTATTAATATCATTTTATTGGTGGCGTTCTTTTCCACTTAAAGTTTCGATTTATTTCGGTTTTAAAAAAATGACCATGATTAAGTAAGGTTATTTACATTTTAGTTGTTTTATTGTTTTTTTTTTTGCATGATTAAAAAAGAACCAGAATAATCAAAAATAAAAGACTTAGGAAACGAACTTGTAAATCCTTTGGCTTCTTATAACATTGAGCAAATGATATGAAAAATTCATTTAAAAAACTGGAAACTTAGACTTTTGATTTCAAAAAAAGATATTGTAATATGCAAATATTTCAATTATTGTATAAGAAAATATCTTTATCTTATCTCCCTATTTGACCACTTGTTTCTACGGAAAGGATTTGCATTTTTTCCTTCGTTTTCTCGGTTGCCGCCCACAAAACAAAAACGGTTTGGACAATAGATGTCCTGTCAACAGATTTTCGCATTTTTCGCAGGTTACGCATAGATGGGCGTACTTCGGGCTGCCGGGGGCGTGGCATTGGAAAACCTTGCGGCTCAGCTGGGATTAGTATTTGTGTTGTTGTGCTTTGTTTTTGGTGCGCTCAGCGGGGGAATCCTCAGCGTTATACAATAATGCCCATGATGATGATGAAGACAATAACAAGACAAAAACGCAACAAGTGCAAGTGACAACAACAAAAGTAACGACTGCAATTGTCGGCTTTTTTTTTTACCTCTGCCCAAAACCAAAAATCGGAGAAAAAATAAAGAGACCCAGACACAAAAACGAGAAATAACAAAAGCAGCGCAGCGGCAGCAAAAACAAAAACAATAATGGTAACAAGTGCTCGCAAATTGTTGCCTGCACAACAACAACAACAATGGATTAACCATTAAACTTAAAATTCAAATTCAAGTTCATGATGAATGTATCACGTGCAAAGAGCCGAAGCCGAAGTTTTGTTGGCTGGAGTCTGGCATTTTTTTTTTGTTGGTTTTCGGTCTTTTGACTCCCTCGTTTGGCTGTCAGTTCGTTTTTTTTTTTTGGTTTTTTCTTCTCCGATGTCTGTACTTTTTGTTGGCGCTTTTTTTTTTTTGTGTTTCGCAGTCGAACACGACAAGTACAACAACAGCAAACAGCAGCAGCAGCGAGAACAAGCTGGCTGTCTGCTTTGCTTGGTACCTTGTGGTAATAAGTGGCTTGATTTTTTTTTTGGCTTTTGGTCATAACCAAGGTGTGCGGTACATTGCTTCGGTATTTTGGTTTTCACAAGAACCTAAGGCAAAAATTTAGTTTCATATTTATTGGCTGAGCTGAGCTTCAATCATAAAAACTCAGATAAAAATAACTACAACTTTTGTTATCCTTTTAAACATATTTTATTGTAATCTAGCAACCAAAAAATTAATATATTTGCATTGCAACGAAAATAAATAGTTGTGCAGGGTTTATAGAGATTTTAAAATGTCATCCTATTTATTTTTCTTTATTAGCGCACGATTTTAAAAATTGATTGTTATTTTTATGCATTCTGAATATTATGAAAATATTTTTTTAAATTATTTATTATTATTATTTATTTCTTTATTCATTAGATTATTATTTATTATTATTATTTATTATTATTATTTATCTGCATTACTTATTTACTTATTCGATATTTTTATTATTTATTTTTTTATTGTTTATTAATTATAATATTTATTATTATTATTAATTTACTGATAATTTTATTTTTTATGATTATTCTATTGGGATTTTCAGTTAGGACATTGGACAGGTTGTTGTGGCTGAGCTTTGGTGCACCTTTTGATTTTTCCGCCTTTGTCGAGTCGGATGGGGCGGGTTTTTGGGTGTCTGCACGTACTCACACCGATACGCACGCACACAGACAGCGGAGCTTAGACTTAGACGCAGACACCAGTGCAAAAACACGTACAACAAGAGGCAACTTGACTTGCCAGCGTTGTTTATTTTTACCTTTATAATATTTTTTTATCTATTTTTTTGGTTGGTTTTTTTTTTGGCTATTTACCGCAGTTGAACATTTTTTGCGCTCAGTTGTTGTTGTCATTACCGTAGCTTGTCTGTTTTTCTTTTTCTTTTCCTTTTTCTTTGGAACATTGTCTGATGATGGAGTTGTTGTTTCTCGCCGCTTTACATCATACTTCTACAGACATTTCCCACTCTCTTTCTTAACCTTTTATTTCTTTCTTATGTAATTTTCGTCGACTGTTGTTCATTGGCAGCAATTATGCAATGATCAGGTAGCACTTCCAGAATATTTACCATGGGGTACCACCCTTTTTCTTGTTTTTTTTTTGTGTGGCCCCCAAGGTGATCCGAAATTAAGTTTGACTTTGAGAGCATTACAAGAGCGAGATTCGGTTCCTTTTGTTGATACCTATCGAAATCCATGTGAAACGATAGCAATTTGGATAATTGAATCTGGCTTCCATTATCTTGTTGTGTTTGATTTGGCTAAGCTTAATTGTGCCATGCGACCGTTAATTTGACTAATCGCAAATTTCCTGCCAGCTTCCTGTTGCTTTGTGGTAAATGGGTAGCAGAATTGTAAGAGGTTTCGACATGAAGTTACTCATTTACGGCGTTTTTTACCTTGAAAATATAAAATACCCATTTTATTATAATAACAGATTTTTTACTTTAATATTTAAAAATGGTATACCATTTTTTTAAATTATATAATAAATTATTAGAAAATATGTAGATTCATAATTATTAAAAAAAAAAAACAATTTGAAAATAGTTATGTAGGAAACTTTACAAATATTTTTTGTTTTTTCTTATATTGTTTATTTTTTTGAATACTAACTTTTGAAAATACAAGATTCTCAAGATCATTTAAAAATCATTTAAAAATCCGATTTTAATTCCTTTGCTTACTTTGTTTTATTTCTAAAGCTTTGACTAAATTTTTCATTACAGAAATATTTGTTTCTTGTTTTTAGAAATCATCAAAGAAATTCCTGGCTATTAGTGTGCAGCTTTAAAAGGAATTCACAATTTGTGGGACTTTACGAAGAGCAGAGTTTAGCTAAGCCCATCACAAAAACCCCAATTTCCCAGCTTCTCGCAACCCGCTTCATCCAGTATTATGACACGCCCTAACACCTTGAGTCAACATCGATGTCATGCGACATTTAATAGGGCTAATACGCCATAATCATGCTGTTGTAATAAGAGAGACGTCAACACGCCGCACCGCAGGGAACTTGATTGATAAAAAAGCAAACCCAAACCTAAAACCGAAAACCAAAGCCCCAAAGAAATGGGGATAGGTAAACTGATCTACGATATATACGTATATACATACAGGCTCGTATTTAAGTTGGCACAGTGACTATTGGAATACCAGGAAAAGTCAACTGCAGTTTAGCATATCAATGCCCGGCTATCGATGATAAATGCGTTCGTCTTTAGCATTGCATTGAAATCAGCTCTTGAGCTCTTGGCTTAAAAAAACCTTTTGGCCACTAAGCTCACGCAATACAAACAAACAAACGAATCGGTCTGAAAACCAAATGAATGTTAATGCTAATTTACTGGACAAGCTCCACTCACTCGTTGAGTGAAAGAAGGGTTCAACAAAATCAATGAATGGGCTGCTGGCCAAAAGGAATAAATAGAAATGTCCAAACGCCCCTTTTTCTTTAGTTTGGTGGGAGGTGGACAATCAAATGTGGATGGGTTTTAATTCTGGTTTGTCAGACGTTGGACGTTCTTCTGTTGGAATTGGTCGAATAAATAAGTAGCTACATTTTATTATTTTGGGTTTCTTTTTTACACATTAAATTTTTTTTTTTTTTTTAATGTTTAAAGTGAATTTATTTGCTTTTTATATTTAATAAATTAATATTTATTTTTATAAATTAATATTTTATTTTTTTTTATTAAAAATCTTTGCAGAAAATACCATTAAAATATGAAAATATAAAGGAAAATTCATCTGTGAAAATTCGAAAGAGCTCATAAAAATTCGATGGAAGTTGTAGGGTGCTGGAAAAAGTACCGTTCTCAAGTCGAAGCAGAAGCCGTCATCGTTGATACATAAACTACCAAATATCGCATCGAAAATGTATAGATGCACTCACAAAACAAATACCGCCTTGATGATAATAAAAGCAATGATGATGATGTCGCTAAGAATGTCTGTCCGACTGCCTGCCATCCCATAAATTTATGCTAAAATTTAAATTTTCTTTCAAGTAGTTGACCGACCGACCGACCGATCGAGAGAAAGGTCACCACGAATGGTGTCGCGGTGACAAAATGCCACATAAATATTACACGAAGCCCCACTCTGATAAGCGAATGTCACTCTTATTAAAAATAAAAGAAGGCAAATGCCCAACAAAGGCGAACCGATGCCGATACCCGAAAATGGAAATGGAAATGAGTACGAACAAAGCGCACTAAAAAGTGTATTGGGAATGAAAGAAAGAACTTCCGAAAATGCCAGGGGGTCATAAAATTGGATGTCGGTGGGAAGGGATTTGTGCATTTCACCTGCTTTGATAAGTATTTGTTTTATTTGTCAGCGAAGGAAATGAAATTCTGGACAAGCTGAACTGAAATTAAAGCTTTGGAAGGGGAAGGAAATATTTTTAATATTTTTTGTATTTTAAAGTAATATTTTCTTTATAAACATTTAATATTTCCTTTTATATCTTATTTAAAAGAAAAAAACCCTAACAAAATTACACTAAAATGCTGTGAGTTCTCACCCCAACCAAAAGAGTTAAGATCCAACGATAATGTAATCCCTGCATTATCCAATTCCACAAACCATTGACTCCAAAAAGCGATCTTGAGGTTCCGCGGAACGGTCAGGTAATCGGATTTCCCAATGTAACTTTTCAGCCTGGTGCGATTGTTGTTCGGATTTTGTTTTTCACCGGCTTCCTCTTCGGTTAAGCTTACACTTTGTCGCTATTTTGTAGTTCTTAACGCCTTCGGGCAACAGTAGCGCAAATAGCAACAATAATAATAGCATTAACATCGGCATTAGCATTGGGCCCGCGCTTGTCATGGCCGCAGAATCTCACAGGCATTCGTAGAAATACACCGAGAAAAAGCTGGGGAAATATTTTAAAATTATGTTAGAGCTTAAGCTGCTATTCTGCATATTTATCTATTTATCATATCATAAAATAATTTTATTTAATTGTCAAAATGTAATATGTTCAAAGTCTGTATCAGAAATGTCACAATAGACTTCAATTTTATTATTATCGAGCTATAGAAAGTTTATTTATTGATTTAAAAATAGAAAAGAATGTATTTATGCGCCTTAAAATAATTTATTAAATTTATTAAATTTATTTATGAAGCCTAAATTGATTTATTTAATTTATTTATTTCAGTTCTCCCGGTGCATTGACTTGGGCAGAGGGACAAGTGTAATGGACACGCTCGGTTCCCATCCACATCACGATGAACTTGAAGTTTCGCACTCGCTTGATTGAGTTGTTCTTCTTCTTGCACTCTGGTCAGCTGGCATGGCTCAGCAGATCGGACTAGCTGTACTTTATATATAACGATTCGACCATGGGAACTACTGGCCGCTCTTCATCATCTTCCTCATCATCCGCGGCATTGCCGGCAAAATGTGACAGACAGCATCCATTACCCTAACGATAATTGGCCAGGGTATGTGATTCCCAGATTTTCATTGAGAGTTTAGCGAAAAAGAAACGGAATATGACAGTCCCCTACTTCGTTTGGTATTCCTAAACCTCTTAGTTGTATACTATAATATCGTTTGGTATCTCTAAAAATGTATCAATGAGCAACCAAGATAATTCCAATTATAAATGCGTTACTTAGACCTTGAAAACTATATTAGAGAGTGGTGCGACAGAAATCGCTTTGCGTTGAATGGGGTAAATATAAAGCGCTAAGCGATTCATACCTATAAAGATTTCTGGTAAAAATAATGTTTTTCATATAATATGCAAAATATTATAGGATATTTGCCTGTGCTCAACGTTTTCTCTACTCATTTTTGCCTTGCACTGTGACAGTGACGTAATCCTAAAGTACTGTACCGAGTACTGAGCTCTGTGGGGCTCTTGTATTTTTTTTGTTAAGTTTCTTATTCGACTACTACTTGTTCTTTTTCTACAAAACCGATTCTAAGCTCGGTTTCTGTTTTTTTTCTGTGCTTATGTGTATGTTTTGTTGACTCGGAGACTCGGACAAATGACTTCCGTTGTGGCTGGCTACGCTCTCATCATAAACTAAAGAGACCAGAAGAGACACACTGCGTATGCGCAATAAAAATAAATATAAACCGATTTCGTTGTATATAAAATAGATATATGCTTTTGGCTATGCATTCCCATCATCTTTCGATGATGATGCACCTGTTCTAACACCTTTTTTTGGCTTTGGAGCGAAGATAAGACCCTAGAATGATTTTCCAAGCAACTACAAGCAGGAAAGAAAATTTCCTTTCTCAGCTTTCGGGTTTTTGTTTGTTTTTATGACACTAGCGGGTTCCTAATGTCACTTTGATTGGTTCTTTAAAAATCTTCCTTTTTTTTTTAGTTATATCTTTTATTGATTTATGTAGATTCGGCTTTCGGATGTGTGTGAAAAGTTTTGGTTTCGGGCTTTAAGTTTTCCCCTGGGCTTCCCAAGCTGTCGTCGCGTCTCATTAGACTGTGATTTAAGCTCCACTCAGCACTTTAAACTATAAAACTGAAATATAATAATGGAGCGACTTAAAGACGTTTCGATCGTTGATGGTTTTCATTCAAAAGTTTTCACTTCCGCGGGCAGGGAATCCGAGTGAATGGTTAAAGCTTATTTGATTGATTTCCGTCAATTGATGACAATATGGAAAACATGTGTGAGAAAATAAAAAAAAGGTCTTGAGATTGTTATCCTAGGAAAAGAAAAGGTTTAAAGTCTTGAATGCTTTTCTGAACTTGTTTAAGAAGCTTAGGTTAACTCGGTTAAACTTGTTAGAGATCTAAATGTACTTTATTATTTCATTCACAATTTCTCTCTATAAATATTTAATTCCTTTTTTCATGATAAGCTCAATTTTAAAGTTCTTTGATTAATCAACAAGTTGAGGAATATATTAATAAATAGGCTATTATATGCTATCTTTTCGAGTCAAAGCTGATGAAGTAGGAGTGTGGGTAAGAAGAATGGGCAAGACTTCACGGTTCTCAGTTTGATAAACAAACCAAGATTAGTTGTAGTAGTCATTAAAAGAGCTGGCTGATGAAAGGCAATAAATGTCCCGGAGAAATGAAGCTTATCTAATGAACAGGCTGCATTTTTGAACAGAACAGAAGATGAAGGAGTGCACTGGGAGAAAAATTAGAGTGTTAAAATCTTTTTCATTTTTAAAAACTAGACTCAAAAAGTCTCGATGATTCTGTTTCGAGGTTATGGCAAACGGTATTGTGTACTGTATTCGCTTTTTTTTGTGGGTGATTCCTATCTTGAATGGGGGTGGTGGTTGGAAGATCCCTAGGGTTTTCCCCGACCAACAGGTGTGCTTGGTTTGTTGATAAGACCTCTGGATGGCCAATGCATCGCTAACTCTGTTCTATTCTGTTCTGTTCGTTGCCCGGTATGGTTGGCTTATTGCTGTTCTGATTGTTGTATAATTCTCTTTATACAGTCCAGCGGCCTGTCCATCAAACGGCACCGTCACCGGCAATTAGATGAATTGCTACCATTGCAGAAAGTGGTCAAACTCAGAGTCATACTCATACTCAGACTCAGACTTAGACTCAAACTGAAACGCGAGTGTGGAATCAGTATTATTGCTTTGGCTTACATAAAAGGCCATAAATTAGTCACTTAACCGCTCCAACTGATGCGGCTGCTGCTCCTGTTTGATATAAGTATGGCCAGAAATGGCATATGGCCGAATGCCAATACAGTTCTTCTCTACTCTATTCTGGCCAACTATTCTGGCCGGCCAATCTAGCAATTCTTTAACAATTCAACAATCTATCACTGCCACTCAAAATGCTTTCTATCCTTTTTGTTGTCTCTAATGATCTCTCTAGCGCTTTTGCTCTAATTGACTGACAGTCCACACACCGCACATTGGGTCAAAAAGAGATGGCTATTGAGTGCTAGATGTAGTGGAGATGTGGAGTTGAAGCGGTGGGAGGGTGATGGTTTGGATCGTTTGCAATTTCTACAACAATTAGTCCAAAGATCGTTTTTGGCCTCGACAGCAATTAGTTCGTTATGTTCGGCCCGCCTCCTCCCACTCTCTCCATAAAGAGTTAGCGATGGGTCCGTGAGATTAGTTCCGATTAATAGGATATCATTTCATTTTCATAAAGTACAAAAAATTCTAAAAGTTGTTTGGTGCTGCTAAATTGATATAACAATAACAATATAAACCTGTAAAATATTTAGGCATTTCATTTTTAATCAACCAACAATAAATAATTTTTAACTCTATTTTTATGTTTATAGTTATAGGCATTCAAATCAAATGAAAAAGGGAAAACCCCAACCGCAAACGATTAATTAATCATGATAAACAGATTATTTTTGCATCAAAAAGGAACAAAATGCGTATTTTTAAAACCATACCAGGTGATTACCAAGTTTTAACTTAAGACCACCAGAGAGAGAGTGTGTTATTTTTAACACGTCTTCACCCTTTTGTTTTCCTTCTTTCTAGACGGTATTATTCCATTTGAGCGGATGATTTACTTTCTTGATTTATTTATAGACGAACACTTCAGCACATTCGACTGCTCTATTTATAGCGCTGCTCTTTTTGGCGAGAAATGGAGTAAATGGAGAGGGAGATTGAGAGGGAGAGAGAACTGTGATTAGGGGCAAAGATTTGTGTACGTTTTTTATAAATATACCCATATAATTTCCAACATTTTATTTTTCGCGCAAATTATTGTTATTTTGATGTCTGCATTCATTCACAAAAATCGCTTAGGAGCCACGCAACAAATGATTAAGTTGGAAGATTTTTTGGCGGTTGTTTTCGGTTCGATTTTAAGCAGCTTAAATGGGGATCGCCCCGAGCTGGCTGTTTAAATTATATTGATGAGCTACAAACCAAACATTTTGGTCGGCTGATCTGGAAATCGCGATATAAACGCAGCCATCAAAATATTTTGGTGCATTTAGCATTTTTATATCCCGAGAATCGTTCGACTTGTGTGTAAATGATTTGGACTTTTATTTGATTTTGTTTTATGACATCGCGAGTTGTCTGTGAAACACGTTTTAGAAATGCCTAACGAATAACATCAGGAATATTTAAAAATCGAATCAAAAATTGTATCGTTCGTATCCAGTTCATTATGTTTATGACGGCAATCTATGTTTATTTAGTTTTACTTTGCATTTCGGAAATTTATTCTGGCTCCAAGAAATTTATTTATAAAGTTTTGAAGAAATATAGAAAACAGATCAAATCAAAGATAGTGTATAGATTGAAGTATTTCAGTGAGCCCCAGTACAACTCATAGTAAACTAAAATAAAATATTTAATAAATAGAATTTATATTAAAATGCTCTAAAAATTAATTTTAACATGATAGCTCACTTTTTCAGTCCCTCTAACCGAAGCTTTTTGCACAGATTATTTTTATTTATTATCTTATTTCCTTTGGCCGGCCTGCAGATTTTTGCAGTTCATTGGACTGAGTCAAAATCCAAGTCGCCAGTGTCTGCTGACTAAGTGAATGAGTCGCCATTGTTGTTATTATTATTATTATTTTTCGCGTTGTTGTTTCTGCGGCGCATCGGCAGCGAGAAGAAAGAAATGTGGCCCAGCAGAGCAAAAAATCCAAATAAAATACAGGAAAAAGAGACAAGACGAAAAACTTTACTTATAAGAGATAAATTAGCGCGATTTCCGAGATGCTTGGCTTGGCTCACACGCAACAAGTCGAAAGTCATAATGACTAATGATTTAAATGTGGCCAGAAATTGTTTAACTCACTGATTAAAAAATAAACTACATTCGTCATATGCTTGTATGTATGTATGTATGTTTGCGTATCAATTTAAAGCAAACATTTATTTTAATTCCACTTTGATTGCGAAATTCCGCATCAATTATGGCCGTAAATCGAAATGTGAAGCATATTTTATGGCAAGCGTTAAACAGTTAACTAGCCAAAGTATGCAAATAATTTGATTGCAACTTAAATCGTTTGTAAATTAAATATTTGCGATTTCCTAGACAGATGCTGGCGGTTCTCGTTGATTTGATTGATGGTGATTAGTTTCAGCATTAATTGGATAACATAGCTGGGAAAATATATGACAGGAGGGGTTAATAGTAATTAAACATTAGAATCTAAAAGCTGATTTTGTTTAAGATGAATATTAATACGTGCTGTAAAATTATAAAACCTTTTGAAAAAAGTAATAAAGTAATAATAATACAAATATTTAATATTTAAAGTAATTAAATCTAAGAAGTATAAGTAAGCGTATTGTTACAAAATGTTCGAGTAGAAATACCAAAATAGAATGTAAGTTAATGTTCCAATTGGTAAAGGTTTTATAGGGATTACAATAAAATTTAAATGTTTAGTGACACAGCAAATTCAAGATCAATAAAATTCCCAATCATTCCATCGATGTATAAAATGTATTTATTTTTTTGTACAGACCTCAAATCCGGAACCTATGGTTTCTAATCAACTTTGATTTGCGGTAGCCCTAATTGAGAATGAAACCTTCCTGTGGCCAT